GGATACTAGATTTTTCATGTCCATTCAGATTCGTCTCATATAGTTGGGTGCTCCTGTGTTTGGTGTGTATACATTTTGGAGTGTTACTTCTTCCTCTTGAATTTTTCCCTTAGCCAGTATATAGTGACCTTCTTTATTTCGTTTGATCATTCTTGGTCTGAAGTTGAGACTGTCTGAGAACAGGATTGCTACCCCTGGTTTTTTCTGAGCTGCTGGGGTGTATAGTATTTTTTTCCATCCTTTGACTTTCAGCCTATGAATTTCTTTTTGAGTTAAGTGTGTTTCTTTTATACAGCATATTGTTAGATTGTGTTTCCTAATCCACTGTGCCAGTCTGATCATTTTCATCCGTCTCTAGAACATCTTTTAGTAGTCTGTGTATGGTTGGTTTTGTTATTATGAAATTCTTGGTGAATTGATTCCATTTACATTGATGGTTATAATTGAGATGTATTGATTTATGATCATCATGTTATTTACCTGTTGTTGTTTACTCCTTTTTCTCCTGTGCTTAATTGTTTGCCTTATTTAGTGGATTTCTTCTGTTCTCATTCACAGAGGTCTGATCATTTTCATCCGTCTCTAGAACATCTTTTAGTAGTCTGTGTATGGTTGGTTTTGTTATTATGAAATTCTTTAATTGTTCTTTGTCATGGAAGTATTTCACTTCTCCATCAAACTTGAAAGAGAGTTTTACAGGGTATAGAAGTCTGGGCTGGAATTTGCTTTCATAGAGGACTTAAAATACTGTGCTCCATGCTTTTTTTACCTTCATGGTTTTTGAAGAGAAATCTGCCATTATTCTAATGGGTTTTCCTTTAAATGTGATCTGTTTCTTTTTTCTAGTGGTTTTCAGTATATTATTCTTGTGCTGGATTCCTAGGATCTTGACTATTGTATATCTTGGTGTGTTTTTTAATTGGGCTGAAGTTATTTGGAGTTCTGTATGCTTTGGTTCACTGAATGTTGGATTGCTTCCTTACATTTGAGAAGTTTTTTGCTATTATTTCTGCTCATATTCTTTTTATATCATTTGTATTGACTCTTTCTCATTGATGCATATTAGTCTCATGTTGTTCATCTTTGCATCGTCTTGCAAATGATGAATTATTTTTTTCTGCATCCTAGTTGTTTTAAAGAGATCTTTTCTTACCTTTTCACTAGCTGTGACAGTGTCTTCAAGATCTGAAACTCTATCTTCACTTTCACTCAAACGGTTTTGCAAGCTTGTGATTGAGATTTTAAGTTTCTCTCTCTCTCTCTCTCTCTCTCTCTCTCTCTCTCTCTCTCTCTTTTAAAAGACACATTTATTCAGCGTCATGATCAGACTATTACATTTAGCAATCAACAGCATGGGTGCAAAAAAGGTCTACATTAAAACCCTTTGTTGGAATGCTTTACACTTTCCACAGAACAGAAACTAAAATAAC